GAATTTGATTTTGTCACTGTAAAATATATATAATGATTAAATGTGAGACAACTTTATTTAGATAATATTTTTACATTGCGAGATATTAGTATTACTATCTATTAAAATGTAATCCCTTATGTTAGTTTTATTCAGCTGCCTCGGCGGCTTGTATTAATTCGATTATTAAATTTGCCAAATCCAGACATGTGGGTGCGTGTATTTCGCGTACTAAAATTGTTAATCGGAGAGTCATAGTAATTATTTCCATAATTCTATGCATTTCCGCTGTAGTATAAGGTACCGGTAAATGTTCATTGGCTACTCTCATATGGTTTTTTAGACACGTAGGTCCATCACTGTTTATCGTGTACTGGTATACGTGATCGTTGTACCTCAACGAATATTCTAACATCATTAGGTATAATACCCGTCTAGGAATGAATTCCCGTACTGGCATTGTTGTTATGTATTTTATACGTTTTTTACGCGTTGTATAATAAAAGTAATCTGGATTTTCCGTGTGATTGTCTTATCTGGAACAAGACAAGATACTAACATCGATTGGTTATTAATTATTATATTATTTAGTAATAGGAAAGGTACGTGTTTAATATTGGAACATAATTTTGAACATGAAATTGAGAGTGTTTGTGTACGTGATCTTACTTACAAACGTGTTACTTCGTCCATTTCTCTAGCTGACTGTAGTGACACTAAATGTCGCCTAACTCTATTTACTGATCGATTATTATTCATTTTTCTTTTACATTTTATTATAATTATGCCCGATGCTATTATTATTATGAGATAAAACATATAAGTGTGAAAATCGGTTATATCCCTTGTGGTCGTTTTGTCCTTTTCTTCTTGTATTAATTGTTCTATTTCATCAATGGATTTAGAATATTGACTCAAGTCAGTTAGTTTTACCACAGAATTTGTGTGTGTTATGACATTGCTTATTTTCTTTTTTATGGAAATGGGGATTGTCAAATTTGACGTTATGCCTATGTTTGATATAAAATCCTTATAATGTGTCGAATTTAAATGCCTATTCGGTGTTAGCACCATTTGTGGTGTGTATCCCCTGCAGTCCTCGTTTAATTTTAATATTCCTATCCCGCTTAATTGTATATTCATCGCCTGGTCTCGATTCTCGCACGAGATGGCTACATTGTCCGTTGTTTTTATTGTATATATCCATGCGTTCTGTTATTTTAGTTTATGATAAATACTACGAGTGATGTCTAGATAATGTATTGGGCACGTGCTAGGTATGCTCGATGGTTTAATAAATAGTTCTACTTCACATGGCAGCTCACTGGCTCCTAGTCTTAATGGTTGTGTTTCCGGACATAATGTTCCCATATTAATTTGTCTACACATCAGTAGCTGGCTAAACGATAATGTTAAATAATATTCATGCGTTTTTGAAAAGTCTATGTACCCATATTCAGGTATTATGTGCATATAATGATCATTTTTTTACTACTGGTAGTGGTATTACGTGGAATAATGTTAAATCAACTGAGTTTATTAGTGGTATTATTATTTCGAATATTAATGTTTCGTTTATGTAAATTATATTTAATTTTGACATTTTACTTAGTTCATATAGCGATATTTGATTTAAATCGAACGGTAAGCTTTGTCCTTTTGGAACGTTCATTGAAATATCTTTTAATTGCTTACGTAATGCTTTGGGGTTTTTCGGTTATATTTAAAATACTAATTATTACTTCACCGTTCTGTACGGTATTTATTACGCTTCCACAAAATACGCCTTCCATTATTTCTTGTTTGTGAATTAAAATATCTTTACTTTCTACATCCTTTGCAGCTATAGGTATTGATACGATTGTTTCTGATCTTGGGGTTAATAGTAACTCTTTTTGTTTATTTTTGTTAGCATTAATTACTAAAGTTTTATTGGCTAGGTTAATTACAGCGTTATTTTCTGATAAAAAACTATTTCCTAATATACCATTTTTCCTTATTGGAAAGTTTTCGTCAACTAAATTAAATTCGGTGCTAATTTCTTGCCCTTGAATTATCAAAGGTATTGTAAGCTTGCCTATTGTTTGTATTATTTTATCGTTAATTCCTTTTAAGTTTACTATTTGTGTTTTATCTACTACTATATCGTAATTTAATATATTGTTTTTTACTATATTTACTTCGCTACCTGTGTCGACTAAAAATTCTAATTCTTCATTTATACAGGCGGGTGATTTACATTTTATGTGATTATTGTTGAATATTTTCGTTAATATAATGGGGTAACAATCTCGGATGGGTCCACGGATATGTGATTGATCGCACGTGCTCCGGGGGGTACGTGAGATGTCCGCTCGTTTCCCGAGTTTTTATTACGTCGCTCGTCGTTTTGTTTTTTATAGCAGGCGGCTATATTATGTCCTGGTTTATTGCAGTAAGTGCAGGTATCGCTCCTTGCATTATAATTAGTGGGTGGACGTGTGAAATTATTCTGATTGGGTGGTCTACTATTATACGCTACATTGTTCATTCGGCATTGCGATGCAAAATGTCCTTCGCGGTTGCATGTATGACAACGCCTAACATTGTAATTGTTGCTTCTTGGATTCGGGTTTCTATTAGTATTCCTATCGTAGGAATTGTTTCTGTTAGTATTATTATTATTAATATTATTACGATAGTTGTACGCTGTGTTTTGATTATTATTATTATTATATTGCCTATTTTGATGAGCATTTCTATTGTTGTACGTATTATTTGCGCGGAAAATTTCTTGTACATCATTGTGAGTACGAATATTTTTTTCGGTAATTAACGCGATTTGCATTGCTTGTTCAAGAGAGGTAGGACTTTTTGTTTTTACTTCAAATTTTATTTGGTCGCTTAAACCGTTTATATAACTGACTAAAGCTTGTTCCCTAATATTGTCACGTAATATTTGTGCTACTGCCGGTGTTTTGTCTATGGCTACTGTGTTACATAGTTTTTGGTATATTTCTTCTACTCTATTGTTGTACGCGCATATGGTTTCATTATTTTTTAATTTTATTATATTTAATTCGATTTGTAAATTAGCTGCGCCATAGGGAGTTTCGAATGCGTCTAATAATATTTTTTTCATATCTTCCCATACCTTAATTTCCTTATATCTGGTTACATTAAAAGCTCTGTCTGACAATTTAGTAGCTGCTATCATTTTTAACATAAAAGGGTGCTGTTCTGAATCTACCGTATTTATGATTACTTCGCATGCATTTAAAAATGGATATATTTCAGTTTGTCCTGATTAGTTAGGAATTAATTTTATTGCGTCTAACGCACTTATGGATTTCCCGTCGGTACTACCTGGCATTTTCTTTACTTTAACTATTCTTTTTGGTTGAATATATTCGGTGTGTATAGTATTTCTACTACTTCGTAACCCTTGACGAATTGCGCTAGTAGTAGGACTATTTTCAAACTCTTCTAGGTTTATTAATCGTAAACTTTTATTTAATATATCACTGGTTATTGGTTTAGTTTCTATACGTTCATTAAGTATTTCTTCACTAAATAAATCTAATTCTTCGTCTAAATTATTTATTTCTATGTTGTCAACTATTTCGCTATCAGTATTGTTTACGTCAATTTCTAAATTACTTTCGTTTTCGATTATTTCAATTATTCTATCTAACGTTTCTCTAGCTATCGTTTCAAATTCGTCATTAATATTTCCTTCTGAACTATTGTTCATTAATATTTATTTTTACTCTAATCCTTTAATTATAATCTCATTTAATATAATCTTAATTGACTTATTATATTTTTTTATTCGATTTGGGCTTTAAATTCGGCTGGGGCTTCTACTCGGGCTGGCGGGCTTTAAACATGGGCTAGGGACTTTAAAACATGGGCTACAAAATCTACACGTGTTCTATACAATGGAGTAGCTAATTCCAAGGGAGTTGTACTTAAATAATAAGATGAACTCAAAAATATGGCCTCAATAATTAATAATAATCTCAATAATAATCTCAATAATGCCCTGTAATAATTCACAATAATTCTCAAAATAATATAAAATACCCTTAATAATTCATAAAAATAACTTCAATAAATGCCCTTTAATAACTTCAATAATATCTTCAAAAAAATTGCCCCTTAAATAACTTTTTATAATATGCCCTTCAATAATATTTTAATAATATTTTTATAATATGCCCTTTCTTTAATAATTTTCCCTAATTACGATGGACCAATAGACCAAAGGAGACGGTTATATAAATTATGCTTACAACATTGCTGTATTCATCTCGTTGCTTGATCTCTCTCGCCGTAGTTGGATTGTAACAAACGTTCGGTCTTCCCAGAGTCGTTGAATTGAAGCGTGCACTCCTCAGCTCAACGGTGATCCACGAAGGTGAAGTTGCCTCTGTTGATTGAAGTTGATCCAAAATATTTCGAAAAATATTGTTGAATGATCCTTGTATCTTGGAAGACCCTGTCCACAGCGCCAAAATTCTGTTACGTCCCAACTGATGTCGATATATACATCAACGTGGAAATGAATACTTGATGCACTTGGTTATTATGAGTATTTATTTAAGTACAAAATTACAATGTATAAAGCTTATGTAGGGAGGTGAGCGGTGTTACGACCTGACTCTGAATTGTTACTAAGATTTTGAGTGGTGTTACGACCTGCCTCCAAAATGATACTAAGACTGTGAGTGGTTTTACGACCTGCCTCCAAGTGCCTTGAGTATCCCTAACCGTCTGACGAGCTCTTGTCCTGGGCTGGTATTTATATGATCGAGTCCTTTGGAGTGGGTGGTCATAGTAGTGGCAAAATTCGGTCATGAGACAGAGTCCTGGTCTCGTACTTGGTAAGCTGGTCGACTCGTATCCTTCGTATGAATGTTTGACTTTCCTAGAGAGATACTTTTACAGTGTCCCTAACGTGTTATAATATACTAATTGCCTTATTAATTATATCGTCGAGTACTATTAGAAACCTGCGCTACGTCGTACATTGTTATTACTTAATTACTAAATACGTAGGTACGTAACATTGGGATGCACGGTATGAGAACATCCTCTCCTTTAAACTTTCCTTTCAATATAGTTGCTTCTATCTCGTTGTTCAGTAATTTTTTTATCGCTAACCGTGTGCCGTTGCACAAACGCGGTTGGTTGATATTTCGCAACATTATAACAACCGATCCAACCTTTAATTTAAGATTGTGAGGTGGCAATCCTGGTAAATCCAGCGAGTTTAAAAATTCCGGTGGATAGTTGACTACATCATATTGGTTAGTTGCCGAATCAACTGATTTATATATACTCGATTCACCTGTAATTTGTTCTTGAATTTTTAAATTTAATTCATTTACATCTATGTTTTTTGCAGCCAATATAGCCCGTTCGCTCATGGCAACAAAAAAATATTATAGTTTTAATTTATTTTTTATATTTTAAGGGTACCTGGTTCAAATCACAGACATCAATAAATATTTTTTCTACTTTTTCTACTTATTCAGTAGACTTTTTAAAAATGTTCGTTCATGAAAACCTTCTCCTGGCAATTCAGAACAGTTAAAAAAAAATTTCAGCCAAATCGGTCCAGGCGTTGTTGAGTTATGCGCTTACCAACACATTTTGCGATTCATTTTTATATATAAGATTATATATTTTTTCTTATCATACAAAGTTGTTAATAATTTTGGTAGTTGTTTGTTATCAAAATGTCTTTCTGGCGCTAAAGGGAAATCTGAATGTAGATCATGAAGTTCTTTAGGGTAAGATAAATCGACTTCTAAAATATAACCTTTACATGATTTATCAGAAATATTCATTACATCAAAATCATTCAGATTATCAACCCATTTGAAATCTCCAGTAGGTAAATATTTACTCATTGCCCACTAACAAAGATTATTTGCATCCAAGTATTCTAAAATTATTGATTCCTCCTTTTTTTCAAATTTATCTATCATGTATTTATTATTTGCTTTTGAATATCTTTGACTACATTGAGATAAGCCACCTCTGATTCCAGATTCAAACATCAATAATTGATTGACATCTGTTAATAAATCTAATTTTACTTTTGTCATTCTTAACATGCAATCCCACGCAAATCCTGGTGTTGTGTAATACCACATAGGATCTAATTTATAATTTTTTAAAGAAATATCTCTGAAATTTTCTATTATATCTGTTGATAATAAAACATCGATATCATTATATAAACTAGTGAATTCACGCATATTTTGTATATTAAAAGCATTCCAAATTTTCTGTGAGTTTTCATATTCCTCTTTAGATATATTTTTATCAGTGAGAGAACTATAACATTTTTCAATAGGAGGTAAACATGTTTCATTAAATTTTTCTTCACAATCCATATACTCATAGGGATAAGCTAACTTAAATGTAATGGAATACTTCGATTTAATACTTCATATAGTATAGCACCTGTTTTTGGGTTTAAAAAGAAAAATTGTGGACCGTTTCATGAAGAACGTCGATCGGATAAAGCTGTACATTTAAACACAATTAATTCTATAAAAGTAATGTGTAATATAGCACATGGGTCATTCAACAACCAACTTCAAAGTCATTCGATATATGAGTTTTTCCCGAGTAGGAAAACAGGAACAAAGGTTGTTCAATCTCCGGTAAACCTTATATATTACAGATTAAACAAAACAGATATTAATTCAATTACTGTTCAGTTAGTTGACCAAAACAATAATCCAATTGATAATTTTAACGAGACGTTAACAGTTGTTCTACATATAAACGTCACGGATCTCATCATTAAATTTATATCTTAGATTTTGTAATGTACGAGTCAGTTACTTTAAGTTTAACTGGGAATGCTACCATATTATCTGTAAATTATTTTCCATCTATAAACGTTTACGAGGACTCAGAAATAGCTTTGTTATGTTTACAGTCATTTAATTCATTCCCAAATATTAATGAAAATAATAATAAATTTTCTATACAAGTAGTTGATAATGAAAACAATAATAATCCTATGATATGTTTTATTATATTGGAAGAGGGTTATGAGATTGAAGATATTAAGCAACGAGTTAAGAAGCAAATAGATGACTATAATAAGAAAAACTTAACCAATTTAACATTCGACATTACGGTTGATCCTAATGATTTCAGATCATATATAAAATGTAATGGGATACTACACTTTGAGTATCCATATAGTATAGCACCTGTATTCGGTTTTGAAAGACGAGTATATAAGCCATACTATGAAATTCTTCGATCGGAAAAAGTTGTAAATTTAAACACAATTAATTCTATAAAAGTAATGTGCAATATAGCTCAAAGACCATTCAACAACCATCTTCAAAGTCATTCGATTTATGAGTTTTTCCCGAGTGAAAGGACAGGGTCGAAAGTAATTCAGTCACCGCCAAATTTAATATATTACAAATTGAATAAAACAAATATTGATTCGATAACCGTTCAATTAGTTGATCAAGATCATAATCTGATTGATAATTTTGGTGAGGCATTGACAATCGTGTTACATATTAAACGTTACGGTTCTTGAGATGGGACTGAAATTCAATATAAACCCGCTTTATCGGATCAGCACAACTAGTCATAAGACTAAAGTGCTACCAGCAACATCAAATAAGATAAAAAAATTAACGGTAAAAAATAAAAAAATGTTACAAGCTCTGGGTTATCAATTAAAGCAGAATGCCTGAGAGTGATATTTTAGATATAACTTCACAGTACAAAACGGATTCTAAAATTACGAAAATTGAATATCATTCATACACACCGTATACTACATCATTTAATAATAATGATGAAATACGTATATCAATCCAGGATGTCTACCCATATCTACACGAAAGCTTTATTTTTTTGGAAGGAACAATTACTGATGCTACCAAAGTGAAACTATCTAATAACGGTTACTCTTACCTCTTCGAACAAATATGATTGGAAATCAATGGGATAGAAGTAGATAGTACACGTGTTCTTGGAATCACCAGCTCGTTGAAAGGATACTTATCCGGTACGCCAGATAACTACAATTGTTATGAAAATGCTGGCTGGAATTTTAAAAACGCAACGCAATCGGAAAATGACAAAAGTGAATTTAGTGCTTGCATTCCATTGAAATATTGGTTAGGATTGTTTGAAGACTATAAAAGAATATTAGTGAATTCTATATTGGAATTAATATTAACCCGAAGTCATAGTGATTTAAATGCTTTACAAGTTAAAAATGGTGCAACTGCTACTGAAGGTAAAGTCACCTTAAATAAAATAGTCTGGAAGGTACCACATATAACGGTCGACGACGAAGAAAGGTTAAAATTATTTAAACTTATAGAAAAAGAAAAAGTTTGTTTATTCCTTTTAGATCTTTTGAAACTTTTGAATATCCTGAACTCGGAACAACTAAAAAAGTTGTATGGAATTTGAAAACTGCTTCAAAATTAGAAAAATCACGATTTATCATAATTGGATTACAAAAAGGACGCAAAAATGTGTTAATGAAAGATTGTAGTATATTCGATCATTGTAATCTAACAAACGTCAAAGTATTTCTGAACTCGATAGCTTATCCGTACGATAATTTGAATTTAGATTTTTCGAAAAATAATTTCACCTTATTGTATAATATACATCGTTTCAAGAATCGTACTATGAAAAAAGTATTCGTAACCCGATATTGAGCCCTTCTACTTTTCTATCAATCGCGCCAACTATAGTTATCGATACTTCAAAACAGAACGATTCAGCAACAGCCTCAGCAGTGGATGTTCAATTGGAAATTGAAGCTTCAGAATCGCTCACAGGTGTGACTGCTTACTGTTTCTTAATTCATGATCATATTGTAGAATATGTACCTTTTACTAGAGAAGTAAGAAACCTTGTGTAAATATATTTAAGAATTAATAAAATAATGATAAAAAAAAAAATCTATTATTACTTACTTTGTGTTCTGTACTTTAAATAATTATTTCATTTTAATAATAAGGTTTGTTGGGAAAAAAAACATTTAGTGTGTACACGGTAAATATTTTTGAGTAAGGGGCAAAACCGATTTTGAGTGTGCAAACTCCCTGTAATTTTAAAATACGGTAAATAATTTGTCGAAGGGACAAAAATTGTGAAATCTCCCTGTAAAATGCTATACGGTAAATATTTTTGTGTGAGCCGCGAATAGGTGGACAACGAGTGTGAAATCTCCCCGTGATTTTCACCGCGGTAAAATCATTGTGTCCAAGCGGAACATCCTCCCTTGAACGTTGTGAAATTACCGCGGTAAAAAAAAAAAAGACTGTGAACATACAAATCTATACTACTCAACCATTTAAAACAATCATACCACTTTTTTTGGAAGCTTCTATAATTTTGACCTATTTTTGTCTCGGGATCTCGAATAACTCTTTCTTTTAGTTCAAGTCGAAATGAAGTTAAAACATTTGAAGGGTCGTCAGGGTGAATTAATGGGCCTGAACTTGTACACTGTGTTTGATTTATGTTGATTATAGCGCCTATAAATTATAGTTACCTTAATGTTAGCAAATAGAAAATTCAACAATAAAAACAGCAACATAAATACCTAGCACATATATTCTATATCTAAGATATCAACCACCAGGACAATTTTAAATGTACTATGTACCTACTATTCAATTATAAAAACAAGCAACATAAGAAGCTATATAATATATAAATATAAAGCATGGAGAATATTAGATTAGTACTTTATAAAAAATAGTACCTTAAAAACAATGAACAAATAAATCAATTTTTAATAAATTATTATAAGTAATTATTGATTAGTATACAAATTATAAGCTACATACATACACAATTAATACACCAGTAAGTTAATAATACAACATTTCACTTAATTTAAATATACTGATTGTTTTATAAGTACCTACTACAAACAAAATAAAACACATATTAAAGGTTAACAAAAATGACAATGAACAGTTAGTTAACATATCATATTAACAGATTAATTAACTTTAAATAACATAGTTAACACATTTAGACGTGTTGGACGTTAGTATACACTTTAAAAAAAATGCTTTACCATGATTCCAGTAGAATCATCAACAGTATCAAAAGGCTTTTTTAGAATATTTTCATCTTCAGTTATCTGTTGTACGTTGGCCTCTACGGTCGTATTGCATTTATCGCTTTTTCTATATTTATTACCTATACTCCAGTGTATATCGATATATCATTTGTTTATACGTACTTTATATTTATTTTATTCTTTCTCCGTCTATTTAAGATGTCCGTATGCAATAAATGTTCCGTTAATATTACTAAAACATCCTCCATAAAATGCAATGATTGTGACTTAACATGGCACGCAAAATGCCAACAACTCACTAAAGAGGATATCGACTACTTA